ATCAAAGAATAAATTTGGGTGGTCAAAAAATTTCGGGTTTTAAGTAAAATAATTTCATCTTCTATGAAAAACTATTTTGATTTTTTTTTCCGAAATTGCAATTTCAGGGCTCCAAAATAATTTTGTGTGCAAGTATAGTATGGACAAATATTATTAAATAAAAAATTGCAATAAAATAATTGGTTGACAAAATAATCATGATTTTTTGTTTTTTATCAGGTGGTCCTAAACTTTTGAAACGGGAGTGTATATTCAATATTTAACATGTCTAATGGTAAAAAATTAAATTTATTATTTTTTGTCAATTTTATTTGAAGTGTAATTTCTCTATATGTAGATATTTAATTTTACCTAAAATATATCATAAGATAACACAATTAGCATTTTAAATTTAGTAATTTTTTTAAAAATTATCAACTTTCTGGTGACTTCTGATATCTCCTGTGTCTGCAATGTGTTTGATGAAAGTTTAGATAGTTAAAGAAAATATAATACAAAAGAATTTGAAAGGTACTAAAAAATCATCATTATCATTTAAATCTAAAAAAGATTTAATGACTATTTGTGTACAAAATTTTTCAAAAAAAAAAATTGGAATCATTTTTACACTACATGTCTTAATAATTCATGACTTTATTATCGAAATAATATAAATCCAACAAATTAGAAGATAGGAAGTGTGATTTGTGTCTATTTCATTTTGAAAGGAAGAAAAAACGCAATAAATGGCCATTGCAAAAGATAGAATATAATAGTAAACTTACATATATACGAAAAACAAATGAATGAATATTTTATTGGATATATGAAACACGGAAACAGATCCATGAAACCCAAGTGAAAGTTTATGTAGTTTCAATTGATCCAAATGTCTGCACTTCATTCACATGGTATTCTCCAACAAAAGGTACAGGCAAGATAGGAGAATATGATATAGGACGTATCTTTCATTTATGTAAACATATGGATAATCTTATATCAAAAAAAGATAAACTGGCCTCTTCAATGTCAAAACGAAAAAAGAAGAAAGTACTACGTATTGAAAAAACCATCTCTCTCATGTAACGAAAGATTAGATGATTGCAGAATGAAAATTTATCGAAAAACAATCAAGTTCTTAACCGATGAATTTGATATAATCGTTATTTCCCTTTCGAGGTTTCAGATATGGTAAACAGAAAAACATGAAAGATAACAAGGAAAACAGTTAAAAAGATGCTTTATTGGTCTCATTACAAGTTTCGACAAACAATTGATTTCAAAAGCAGAAGAGAATGGAAACCATGTGATAATTCAAAATGAAGCCTACACATCAAAGACATGTAGTTGGTGTGGAAATATTCGGAATATTGGAGGATCAGAAACATACAAATGCAAGAATTGCAATATAAAAATTGACAGAGCCGAGGGATTATTCTTCGGGCTTTGCTTGGAGTCATAATTATGCAGGAAATAGTAAACTTTGCTTAGTATTACTTAGTATTGTTTATTATTGATATATTACGGAACTATACATCTATGAAAGGAGAGCAATAAAAAAAAAAACTGACTTATTTGTCGTACATTCGAGAACTTTGACTTTATTCAAAAAAATATATATCAAAAAAATACATAGCAAAAAATAAATAAATAATAGGTTACTTATAGAACACACTCAAAGGTAACTCCTGATATTTTCTTTTTAAATTCTTTTGAAATAATTTTGCGGTATTTAAAATCTTTTTCATATGTTGAACAGTTCTAGATCTTTCATGTGGAACTTGAATATTTAACGAAAAAAGTCTACCACGATATTCTATTAACATATTATTAATTTGCATAAGAAATTCAGCTGATTTATGTAATGATCTTTCAATTTCATTAGCTTTTCTCAGATATTTTTTTCCTTTCTCTCGGTGATTAGATTTATCATCATCAATATATTCCTCTATCTTTTTTATTTCAGCCATTACGGAATTCTCTACTGAATCTCTTAAATTTTCTATAGACACAATTACATTTTTTGTTTCTTCCACTGTTTCCTTCAAATTTCTAATCTTTTCATGAAAATAAAAATTAATAGAATAATAATCTAGTGTAGTTTTTGTGTTCCCGATTTCTTCAATTTGATATTCCAAATGTAAAATAAGCGATTCTTCATAATTATATATTTTCTCAAAATATTTATTGGAATCAGAAATCTTAACACAGAAATCACGTAAAACTTTGGCAATCCCGATACTATTATCCGTGAAAGCTGGACTATTTTCCATAAGATTTGCAAATCTCTTGTAATATATACAAGAACCTATCAAGGAATTATTAATTATAAATTTATTAAGAAAATAAAAAAATTATAAAGGAATATAGATTAAAAATAAAGTTTTTTTTTAACTTACATGATGAGAAAAGTTTATCAAATTCATTAGGATGATTGGATGACATCTATAAATATAAATTAATTAATAAAATTGAAATCCGATAATATAAATAATATAATTAATAAAAATTAATATCAAAAGCGTACCACATATACAAAGAGACTAACAAGCATCGAAATAAACATAGGAAAAAAAAAATTTCGAAAGAGTGATCTTTTTTCTCTTGTTTCATTGAGTCTTGATATGGATCCTTCAATTCCAACAAATTTAATATTTTCACTTTTGACATCATTATTTGGGAAAAAAAAATGGGAAAAAAAAGATTTCTATGCCTTTAATTACCGTTGCCGCTGCTCATTTTAGTAGTATACTTGTTATATTTATTCAAAGTCAAATGATTTTCATCAATTTCATCAATTCTCATGATTTTTTTGCAAGAGTAAAATTTTTTTGCACACAGTTGAATAAAAAATTGAAAAATTCATTTTTAAAGCAGATATGTAATTGTTTCCATATTAAGATATATTTGAATTGAGTTTTTCGCCATGTGATATCCTTAAGTTATTTTTGGATTTACGTCTTTCTTAAAAAATTCATATTTTATTCTTTAATAAAAATATATGATTAAAGTGCAATTTCTTAATAGTTTATGTCGAATAATGCTAACTTTACAAATATTTTACGAATAATTTTTTTTTTATTCTCTTTTTCAAGAAAAGAATAACTTTAACTGTTTTGAGGGAAAAAATATTAAGTCTAGTGATCTATTAATTTGAATTAATTTGAATTAATTTGAATTGAAAATTTTTGATTAATTTAATTTTTAATTAGTGACTTGAACTGATTTAGAAAAAAAAAGTCATTTAACTTTAGGCAAATTTAACTTAAATATCTGTAAGATAACACATCTTAACATTGTCCTTCACTAACTTTTATCTAACATACAAGAATATTATTTTGTTTATTTATTATGCTACTCAAGTAAAAGTTCTCTTTCAAAATAATGAGAAAAATACAATAAAAATCCTTGCAATCCTTTATATTTTTACTCACCTAATTCACATAAATCATCATTTAACTATTGTATAATAAAATATAATCAACATTTTAAAATTTATTCAAAATAAATTTAAGTTCCTTAAATTATAAGTAAAGAACAAGATAAATAGATAACTTTTTAAAAATTATTATTAAGATGTACCAGTTTTATAATGTCTCAGTTTTGTAAATGTGCAGGTAATTCTAAATCAGTATCTTATTAATTCATAAAAATACTTATTTCAGTATTATTATTATTTATAGGCCAACACAACTGGATTCATCTGTGATCCACTAAAAAAATCATAAAGTATAGAATTATTTTGCTGATAAAGGTTTAAATTATATAATTCTTAATGCCAGCTGGAATTATATAACTTGTACAAATGTATCATGTGTTATTGTCATGTGCAAAACAACAGTTTCGAATGTGAATGCTCTTTCTTTCTTTCTTTCCCATTAATTTCTGCAGTGAAATAAAAAGAAATAAAAAATTAACTATTAAAAAAGATTGATATTTTTTAGTGGAAATATAATAGTAATAAATAGAATTTACTACATTCACCAAAAAATGTAAACCTCTGGAATACTCCGGAAAATTTTGTTAAAAAGAGCATGGTAAAATTAACACAAAATCCCTGATCTCATGTGATAATTTTATGTTACAATTATTTCTAAGTTGTATGGCATTGGATCCAGTTCTACCATAATCATAAACCTTTATTATAAAGATTTGAAATTTATTTTTAAATATATATATTTACTTAACACTGGACTTTATTTTTTGTTTATTTTGTTAGAAATTATTGAACACATTAAAAAGATCAAAGGATAATTGTAAAGCAAGAATACTTGATCTATTATTTTAATAATTGAAGAGATCCGTAATGATATCATTGATGTTTCCTTGACCATTGTCTCCGAGTTCATTATAAATAAATAAAACAATTATACGAAAACCCTTTATTACCAATTAAACAAAATAACAGCTAGAATATTTAAATTGACAGTATGTATGTGATAATTATAATATAAAATTCTTTTTGCAACCTAAAATTGAACATTACAAATAATAAATAATTATATCAAAGAAGAAATTGACTGTATTATTTTGAAAAAGAAATAAAGAGCAATAAAATTTTAAAATCCCTTTTCCGCATGTAAAATCTTAAATACTTACTTGCTTGTCATAATTTCGCTTGTAATTGAATGAACCAAAATTCGTTTGTTTCTCCGAAATTATTTTTTATTTATAATTTAAAAAGAAACGACTCCACGAATATTGATACATGTAATTTGAATATTTTTCCCTCATATTTTTTTATAGATGATCTTCGCATCCAATTTTCTCGACTAAAGAAATGGAAGCATAACAAGTATTATTGATTATGAATCTCACTTTGTTCAAGCTTTCGCATTGTGATTCTTTCAATCATAGTTAAAAGGACTTATACAAACTCCAAAAGAGTTCTCTTATGCTTTCACCAATTTTCCAAGTTCTAATTAACTGGTAAAATTCTTCTATTATTTATAGTTTAAAGTAGGATCAAAGTTTAAATGCTGGTCCATTTTTTTTTCAACGGATCCTTTAATTAGAGGCATTCCCTGAAAAACTTGAATTTCAAAATCGAATTTTAAATCTTCACTTTCATTACCGGGTTATTCATGGTTTCTTTTTCAAGTACTAATAGTGCTTTCTTCACTATATTTCCCCGGATTTATAATCCGGTTTCACCCGAATACCGCAGGTGACCCGGTTTAAACTTTCGAAACAGGATCAACCATGTAATATTTTTATTTTTAGAAGTTTTGTGCGTTTTTTAATATTTTTTCGACTTCGCTTGCGATTTACGAAACTTGGGGCGATTTTCTACTAAGATATTTCTATGATAGATAAAAGGCCTTGTTCTTAGCTACAAAATAGCATGTGTTTTATCCCTATAACAATATTCACGGAGTTATTCTAGTTGAAGAAAAAAAAATGTGCCAAAAATTTTCGCGGAAATTTTCATAACGCAGTAACTTCGTAGAGATCTACACGATTTTTTCACGGACGTTTTCTTTAAACTGAAATAACTCTGCAAATATTGGTGCTACATGAATTAAATACATACCATTTTGTAGCCAATAACAAGGCCGTTCTATTCATCATAGAAATAACTTAGTAAAAAAATCACTCTGTGTGTTTCGAAAATCGCGAGAGATTAAATCTGTATTGCATTTATTTAGATCAGTCGATCACTATTAATCATGTGATATAATTTTGATCCAATTAAAAAATTGATATTTCGTGTAATATGCCTCATGACAGCACATATCAATGTGCATCTGCTACTCTAAAAAAATTAATATCTCTTTAACTACCTAATAAATATAAATATTTACAAATTTATATTCAAAATAGAGATGAATATTCATTTTAATTGTTTATCAGTTATTAAAAATTTTAATTATTTATTATTATTATTTATTAGTGTTTTTTAAAAAAATAATATAAATAGTTAAATTTAAAAAACAATTTATATTGATACTAATAAATTTTTTTATAATGCTTTTAATGCTTTTGATTAATTGGATATAATAACTATAATATATTCTATAATCTTTAAAGTTTGATCTAATCTGGAAAAATAATATTTCAAGAATTCGTAGCTTACCTTATAGAATTCCACTGGTCGATAAACTATATTTTGAGAATCTATCAGTTAAAATTATGTTATTGCTGTTGAAATCAATCATTATATCATACATTTAATATAATGTCTTAATTAAATTAATTTTGACAAATATGTATAATTTTGATTCTGGTGTTCTTGAGTTTGATTATAGAACAATAATTTATAACTTGTTGAATTCTTCTTAATGAGACAAACAAATAACAATTAATTGGAAACAACAGTCTGTTAAGCTACATAAAATATGGTAATTTAATGTTCCATAAATATGGATTGATTAATAGGAGAAATCCTAGATTTTTAATTTCTGGTATTTATATAAATAATAATAACTCTAATCCAAATTGCAATGCTTTTGACTTTTTTATAGACAGAAGAATAATATTTTATATTGTTGAATAATTAATATCATTTTTGATTGTTTTGAAAAATTCATTATATTACACGTGTCATTCTTGTCATTCTCACAATTCAATGAAAGTGAAGAAAACAATATGAACAAAATATTTGAGATTTAAACATGTCATTAACGGCCAAAAATTTAATAAACAATGTCGATATTATTAAGGACAATTAAATTTTACCTTTATGTTTCGTCTATATATTAATTATTAATAAATGCAATGTTACGTATTTTTGTGAAGGAGTACATTAATTGTTTGATATTTGTACTTCTAATTAATTGAAAAAAAAAAGATAATCTGGTAATCAATTGTTAATGGGTAATAACATTAATTTTATTTATAGTAAAGCTTCGATAGATTACATATATCACAAAGAACTTTTCCAATAGCCGTGCGCGATTGCATTATAATAACAATTATTGTCTGCGGCTATTAGTTATAATCACTTTTTTGATTTATGATTTTCACGTTGCTTAGGGAGTACATTAAGTGTATTTTGTTCTAAAAGACATGATTTCTTCATTAAAAGTTAAGCAAATTATGATTGAAAAATCTATGAAAAACCATTGTTTGTCTTAACTAATTAACAATTTATCCGTTACAGCCAACAAATTTTTGTATGCGAAGAATCTCATGATTAAATGAATGGTGCTTTTAAGGTCGAAATGTAAACACGTGAAATTGTATTATGCACTTATTGCATTTATTTCTTCCAAAATAGTTCTTACTATAAAAAAAACAAAGAATTCAAAAAAAGTTAAGACTTAGTGATATTTATCCGCTTACCACATATGCGAATCATTCTTGAATCTGAATAGTTACAATATAAATTAACAAATTTTCACGATGATTTTTGTTCCCCTGAAAATAATAAATAATTTAGATGATTTTCAAATAGTAGAGTGCAAATATGTGTTATTGTCTATCTGTATTTTTGCATTACATTGTATTCATTTATAATACTATTAAAAATAGATGCTGTCAAAAATATATTGAAAAAAATGGGAGAAGGAATATTAATCCATCAAACATCTTATATAAAGTTGACAGATAGAGGTCATAAAGAAAAATTTATAACTGTTTGGTGTCCTAATGATCAAATGGCACTTTTTATTAATAAGGATATAAAATTAACAATGAAGCAAAAATTATTGAAAAAACTGGTGAAGAGAAGGAGAAACTTTGTTAAAGTAAGTGACTAAGATTTTTTTTTGAACTTGTTATTAGTTAAAATTAGATCAGAAATTAATTCTCGTTCTACTACCATTTTTCTTAGAAACTTAGAAAATTCTTCAACAAACCGAAACCTGAAGATGATATGGATTTCTGTTGTTACGGCAATTAGTAATAATACATTTATTTATTTTTTTCATCCTTGATGGATTAAAAAAACCTTTTTAATAAATGTTGCCAAGATTAATAATTTTCTTTTTTTATGCCCTTCTATGCAATTCAATCCTTCCCTAATTACTGTATCTCAACATAATTATAATATGCATTATATTGTTGATAATTTAAATTCAATTATTATCTTTAATATTCTTTAGCATTTGTTTTTTAAAAAAATATTTATGGTATATGATTAAGTTTTTTTCAAATTATTCTTTATTCTTGAACATCATTTATTTGTTTAAATTGTAAATATTATATTATTTCTTTTTTTTCATAATAGACATAGACATAGAAATAGACATAGACATTAGACATAGACATTTTATATAGACTGATATTTTTTATTTTCTGTAACCATTGTATATAAAAAAATATAAAAAATATTTAGATAATTAAAAATTAGGTACATGCAACTAACTATTTTCAATTGATACTTGATGCAGAAATATATTCATTTATTTTTTTCTCAAGTTTTTTATTCAAAATTTGCTTCATTTACGGATTTTAGAAGACTTGAAAAATTGCGAAGTTGACTGGTACATAATGTGTTTTATAATTAAGTGAAGTTATAGGTACATTTGACTGATATTTGGTTTTAAAAAATTATTCGTTTCTTTTCTTTATTTCTTTCTGTTTACCCCTCGTCTGATATTTGGTTTTAAAAAATTATTCGTTTCTTTTCTTTATTTCTTTCTGTTTACCCCTCATTTCGTTTCGTTGTTACCTCTTCATTTTATTTTATACTCCTATAATGTTTCACCCTCTTCACCTGCCACTTTCGATATCTCGCTGAACTTTCTAAACTTCTTTGTTACGATTATTTATTGACCAATTGTTATCGTGACTCCAGACTCATGACTCCTCCGATTTTGCTGTTCCGAGCTTGATTTATTTCGTTAATAATACTATAATAAACATTAATCACGTGTATAATCCATTAGTAAAAAAGCCAAATTTATACTAATTTATTACAGGATGGCAATTGGGGAAGAAACAATAGATAAGAAGCAACATTAGTCAAACAACCATCAATGCACAGCTTAAAGATTTTGATAGTATATCATAGAATTGAAATACATATCCATGATAATTTACTTTGTTTTTCCAGTCCACAATGCAAGAAACGACCATAATCGAATTGCCAACTTAATTGTTAAAGCATACTTGAAAAGAATATTGTAAAAAAATATTTCCTCTCTGATGTAAAAGTTATAATTCATGGTGAAACATCATGTGGATAATTAAATTTTTAAAATAGGCAGGAACATTATTCGATGATTTTCACATACGAACGAAAATTCCTGGACACTTTCCTCTTGCACCTTATTCCCTTATATACTATTTGTATATACTATAAATATGTATTTATAACAAATAACAAACACAATAGAGTAAAAACGTGATCTTAATCTAATCCTTATTTGCGTATAGACACGTATCTTATAACATTAAAGGCACACCTATAAAAGTATTTGGACCACATGAAAATTAAAAAAAAAAATTTCGAAATATTAAATACTGATTGTGACATAATGAATAATTTAAATTATGGTATTTTGTGCTAAAATTGAATACCTACACGTGAAGAAATTACACTTCAAATAAAATTGACAAAGAATAATTTAATCTTTGATCGTTACCCTACAGGACTCGTTAAATATTAAAGATAAATACAAACTATCTTATATGGTATTGTAGCCAGAAATAATATCTACAACTTTAGTTAGAAGTACTTTTCGTAATATCTAATGAAAATTTTGACTTTACTTAGAGTGAATAAAAACGACCGAAATTTATTAAAAAATAAAAAATTCGAAAATAATGATATTAAAGGCAAGAACATAGAGCATATTATGTAAAGTGTTCAGAATATTGACATATTTAATTAAAATTGAGCAAATAATTAGCAATTAAATTCCAAAGAATAATTTTTGAATATCTAGTGTTCAGCTGTTGATAAAAAATTAAATTCTTAAGAAAATTATGAAAAGTTTACAAGATGCTCCACATCTTTAGCTATAAGTTTAATTAGTACTATATTTGTAATTGTATTAGTAAATAATAAACTTTATATGTATTGCCCACCGCACAAATTTCTAAGGCATTATTGTCACGTTAATATTAAAGAAAAATTCGAAAATCGTTGTTACATATAAAGCTTGATTTTTACTAATAACATCACAAATATCGTACTAATTAAACTTATAGAAAAACTTTTCATTATTTTCTTAAGAATCGAATTTAATATCAACGGCTAACACCAGACGTTCGAAAATTATTCTTTGGAATTTAATCGCTAATTATTCGCTTAATTTTAATTAAATATGTCTGAATGCTTTATATAAGATGCTCTATATTCTTACCTTTTATATATAGAAACTAGTGATAATTATTTTCGGATTTTTTTTTTTATTTTTTTTTTAATATTTTTAATAAACTTCGGCCGTTTTTATTCACGTCTAAGTAAAGTCAAAATTTTCATTAGATATTACGAAAAGTACTTCTAATTAAGGTTGCAGTTATTATTTCTGACTACAATACTATCTAAGATAGTTGGTACTTATCTTTAATATTTAACGAGTTCAGTATGGGCAACGATCAAAGATTAAATTTATTATTTTTTGTCAAGTGTAATTTTTCCACGTGTAGGTATTCAATTTTAGCGCATTTAATTTCATGTGGTCCAATACTTTTTATACTGATAGGGCCAATGTATCACACATTGCATTCGTGCATAAAAATCAATTATAGACGTTTTAACATTTAGAAAAGGCAGAATGAAGGTAAAGCCATTACGGAGGTAAGTTATAAAACTTTATGGAAGGCCTTTAACAAGTTGTGAATAAGTTCAAAATCGTGAAAAAGAATGATAATATAACCATTATACCAGGTGGTTTTGGATTTATGCGAAGGTCGATTTGAACTTTGTAATTATCAGAATTATCAGAATCATCAGAATTATCAGGAAGCGTAGGGATATACAAAGGCAAGTTAAAAAAAAAAGTGAAAATTTTGCATTTTTTGATTTGCAAATTAAGTTTACGTTTTCTCGAAGCACCCACTCTTTTTATATTTATTTGAAACCTAACATCCTTTCTGAAAAACTTCCTAATTCATGATTTTGGTATAATAATTTTATTATAAAAAAACATAAAATTCATAAATAATTACGAATATAAAATGAATAACTGTAATATTGTATAATACGTTTAGAAAAATAAATTCATTAATGATATGAGTTAAATAATGCCTTTCATGTTTTATAAGTTTTATTATTCTATAAACTACTCATACAGAATTCGATAATAAATTGTTAAGCTAATTTAATTAGTTTAATATACAGTCTAAGAAATCATATCTAATTGTTGACGCGTCGTTCACAACCAATGTTCTAACTTCATGTGAAAGAGTTTTTTGAAGATAAATGATCATCACCTTTACAATTCTTCGATGATTTACAAAAGTGTTATTGTCATGTATTTTAAGAAAAAAAAAAAACTATATTTGATAATTCTTTATTCTAATAACTTTACCCGTTGAATTTGATGTAAATAATACAGCATTCGAAGTTCGAAGTTTGGAAGCTGTTGAATTGAATATCTGAATATTTTGGATATTAATGTTTGTAAGATAAAATATCTACATAATCACATTCATTTTTTTGTATTTTTGTCTGACATGATTTTTCTTCTGTAATTGCTATAAAACTGTATAAACTCTATAAATCGCTATAAATTTCTATTAAAATATAAATCGTTATTTAGCAATTAACTTGAGACGTTTGTGATCTATTTATTTAAAATCTAAAATCTAAGTTGATTAATTCTGCAATCTTAATTGTGAAGACTTGGAAAATTTTCTTAACAATTTGTACTTTAATTTGTTATAAGTTCACAGAATTAATTCTTTCCTGTCTTAAAGTTTTGACAAAATTCCTCAGTTATTTTTGATTTCTTCATATGAATTTAAAAATATTAGATATTCATCGTAATAGAAGTAATAGAAGTAATATAGTTGCACAATTAAAGAACGAGAATACCATTCTTTAATTAATAAATTTATGCAAAGTAACCTTATACAGAATTTGTAATTTCGTAAAATATTACTAATAAAATGTGAACTTGTAAATAAAAATTATTTGTACATCATGTGATAATACAATCTAGATTTTTACTATTATGGTGTTGTGAAATATGATTCCCTTCTTGGCAAAAAAATCTAATGTTGGCCATACACATGGCAATTATTTAGATTGAAAAATTTGTTAATGATGTACAAAAAAAATTATTTGTTCACAATTTAAATCACATTTTGCCTTTTTTTTCAATTATTAGTTACACAAATAAATGACATAATAACAACGTAATCATATATTTTTAAAACCAATATGGTAAATCTAGAAATCCTTTGATTTATTCATTTGGATTACGCGAGAATCTGTTTTATAAGCACTACATTAAACCAATAATGGATACCAAATCAACAATTAATTTTTGTCTTCAAATCAAATCTGTCAAAACTTACAAAGGAAACAATGAGCTAACTTAATATTAGAGATATATTTTTAGAAGCAAACTTTGTTTGACATGCATTATTAAAATTTTACATTCTTCCGAGAAAATTCACGCAGAGTCACACAGATGTAGTAATTTGGTACTTTGTATTTATTGGATGAAGGAAAATCACTTTTTTAAGGTTGGGAATGTAATGATAACGATATTCTAATAGATCATACGAACCAATCAAAGTAAACGTACAAGGACACAATTAATTAGTTCAATAATATGGTCTTATTCGTCAAAATAATTTACCATGCGGTTGGTCTTAAGGATTCTTTTAAGTTGATTATACCAATAATTTATCTGAATATGTTTTTTTGTAAAGTTTGTGCAAGATAATCAGATAATCATGATAACCAATCTTCTGAAAACTTAACCGCGAAATCCATATGGATTGTCAAAGAAGGGATCCTTTGTTGATTTCATCTTTTTAGGGAAATCCTGTGAGTCGTTGTGGTAATAGGAGAAAAAAAAATTACATTATCTATTAATAGAAACATTTATTGGATTCTTATACGAATTCAATCCCGAAAAAAATAAATTCATAAAATCTAAAAATCTCTAATAAGTCGATTTGTAGTTGTAGACTTTAAAAAATGATTAATATAAAACTAGGTTAGCCATATTATAACCAATAGTAGTTAAAATATAGAAATAAAGAGATATATTGTCTACCTTTGATCGATACCAAAAAATACATACATATGTACAATATTACAAATTTGATAATGCACAAATGTATGACGCGTTGTTTAATTTTACAAAAAAAAAAACACGCGCTTTGAAAATTCATTTTCACAATTGTTTCACGAACATTATCTAAACAGTGTTAGTAAAGTAGAGAAGACAAATAATTTGATTAAAACATTATAAAAAATTATTGACCTATTTTTAATTATTTATTTTTAATTATTTTAGTTATTATTAGTTGACGAGTCTCAGAAGTGAAATGAATAGATATAGAAGTAGAAGAATAGTAAATTGAAACGCTTCTGAAATTTATTTCCATTTTCAAAACTGTCCGGATTAATTTCATAACCTCCGAATTAATTTCAAAATCCAAAAAAAGTTTGTTTATGCATGCAATATAAAAATACCTGTTGTACATTATATAATATTTTTTTTAATCTATTAAAAATCCTTTTTATGATATACAAACAAATTTATTGTCAAAACTAAAACGCGAACAGTGATAAATAAAAAAAAATAGTCGTCAAAGTAATATTAACGCACAACTTCTATAAATGCGTCATAAATAATATACCTAACATGAATTATTAATTTCTAATAATATTTGAAATTTATTTTTAGCTAAATTACGGGAATACCAAATATGTACCTAAACCTAAAAATCTATTCGTTCCCTTATTGGTTGACGCCACTTACTCTAAAAAAGAACAAATAATTCTTCATTGAGATACCATCACGGCAACACACAATGGAAAAATAGACAAGTTATTTATATGTAATTACGAATACTCCAAAAAAAGAAAAAAAGGTAGAGAATTAATTTACAATTGCACTACGTTCCTACGTTCAACAAAAAATCCAAAGTATAATAAATACGGTTCATTTCTTCTCAAATTTATTCACCGGAATTTCCCATTTTTTATAAGCTTTCTTCAGCTTAAAATTAATTAATTTCCTTTATATAAAAGAAAAAAATGCCCAAAGTAACGAAAAGTAATAATTCTGGTTCTATTGAAAATCCAATGAGAAAGGTTTCAGACCCACCACCGGAGCTTACGTTGCCCTTCCCTCCAGAGATTAATCCAGAAGAATTGATGGCTAATACACGAAAATTGCCTTCGAAACCACCAAATGCTTTTTTTATATACCGCAAGGTATATACAAAAGCATTGGTGGCTAAAAATATGAGATTCAAGATGACTGACGTAAGTCCTTGGGTTTCTAGTTCATGGAAATTGGAACCTGAAGAAGTAAAAACTAAATATAAGGAAATTGCACGAAATGTCAGGCAAATTTATAAAAAAACAAAGGAAACTTCCTCTGTCCCGTCTTCGAATTATGATTGCAAAGAAACACAAACACAAACACAAACAAACTCGTCGTCTTCCTCAGAACAAATCGAATCGCCTATTGAAAAATTATTAACCCCGGATCTGTCTCAAGAAGATAGTTTATTTGGACAATGGACTAACACCGATTTTCATAGTCCACAAGATGATCTTGATTTTGAATTTCCAAACTTTTCTCCTTTACAGGAGTCTTTTGGATCAGATATTAGCAATAATGACAATTTAAATGAATTTAATACTAATTTAAATAATATATATTCAGATTATTATTTTCTGGGTTATCCGCAAGTTTCTATGAATAATCAACTTCCCAACTGGACATCATATGATGGATTTGACGTCTTTTTTGACGCTTCAAATTCAAATCCGATCTTCGAATTTCATTATTAAATAGATATAAATATAATATTAAAATTTAATGTAGAATTATGTATATGACCAAGATAATATAATTTTTAATTTTTTTCTAAAAATTTTTTAATAATTTTTTTTTTTCGATCACCGTATTATTTTTTTTTGTAAAATAAATTTTAAATATGATTAAAAATAAGATAATTAATCCAATGCACTAAATTTTAAGTGGTCTCTTTTTTAATAGATGCAGTCAAACCAAAAAGTACTTAAACTTCATTATAGAATTTCTCTTTTTGGCAATTTTATTGTGTCATATATGCATTATTTTGTGACAAATATTTGAAACAAATTTATGCTTCTTACTAAATTGAAATCGCTTGCTGTGATGTTCGTTTACTATTTCTTTTTTAAATATTAACCGAAGTGTTTTGATGATATTAAAATTGGCCATTACGTTTTGAATTCATGTAAATTTCTCGAGTTTCATGTTATTCTCTTTCAAGTATAATCATTCTTCTTTTATTATTTTTTTTTTTTTTGTGTAATGCAAGTTTCACAAAAAAAAAAAAAAAAATCTTTTTGAAGTTGAAAGAAGAATCAAAGAATATTCTTTGCGCCAATTCAAGAAAATTGTTTTTTAATGAATATGAATATATAACTTGTAATTAGGAATTGTAGATATTGTGGCGATAACTGCAGTTACGAGGTTTGGTGATGATCAATTTTACTATAATAAGGTTGAAAATGCGTAGGATTAGCATTTTTTTTTTTAAGTTTATTAATGTGAAACTAACTCTCATGTATTCATATTATTCTTTATTTCCTGGCTATGGATCGTCAATATTTAATGCTCATAAATTAGTATTAAAAATAAAAAAAATAAAAAATGAAAAATAAATTCAATTGGTAACGTAATTATTCTTCACATATGAAATTATGGTATTATGGGATATCGAATCAAAGGAACAAATTATTTAATATAGAACTCTATTTTTGATTTTGTGGTAACACGATCATTATAAAATTAGACTGAAACAGATCAATTTGAATCTTCAAATTATTTTATTGGTGCTTTTGATTAAATCTTCTACAAAGAAAATATACAATATAAAAATGAAAAAAAATTCTTTGCATATAGATTATATTAAATTAAATTATTGTAAACAAGAGAAAAAATGATATTAAAAAGAGAAATTGGATGCATATTTTTCGCGATAAATTTGATATATTTATATTAAAAAATTCTTATTTTGGGGTTAAATTCATTTTAATCAATAAATTAATATAGTGAAATAAACTGCCTTGTTGTGTGCAACAAAAAATGGCCTTTTATTTTCAACAACGAAAATAAGTGATGAGGCAAAAAAAAAAGAAGATGGATTTGATTGTCTTTGATTATAGGAGAAACTTTGATATTTTTAGTCAGTAATAATAAATAATAAATAATAATAAAAATAAAATAACAATAAATAAAATAATAATAATAATAATAATAATAATAATAATAATAATAATAATAATAACAAATAATAATAATAATAATAATAACAAATAATAATAATAATAATTAATAATAATAATAATAATAAATCGAGATTTATTGTTTATTGATATTAATATTTAATTATTCATGTATCCCCAACCCATTTCTTTTGTCCACAACGAAATCTGACATCGAAATCTAATATCGAAATCTAATAATATCAAAAATATCAGTAAATATCGTGAACAATTCACAAATAAGTTAATATTGTTTATGAGTAACATAAAATAAAAACTAAGAGGACACTTTTTATGAGAAAACGCGTGATGATATTAATAATGAACGCTAAAAAAAGGGAGTAAATGTTAAAGGAAGATTATATAATTGCATAATTATATTCCCCAAAAAAGTATTAGAATTAAATTTAACAACTATTGTTCTGCATATAAAGTAAAGTTTTTTTTTCATAGAGATTAACTAAAGGAATTGAAAATAAAATTCAAAAATAAGATTCACAATTTTTCTACTACGATAATAGCTATATAAATGAAACTAATGACCAAATTGAGAATTGAATATCCAAAAGGCGCGCATATACTTAAAAAATATTAAGCATAGAAATCAAAATTAACTTATTTTGGATATTTTTAAGTCAATAAAAATATTTATGTTACCTAAATATCAAAGCAATACATGCATGCAGAAATAAAAAAAAATTGTGGCAAAATTTGTTGAACTGTGGCATAGATATTAATAGACGAATAAATTTTGTTATTCGAAATTAAAAATTCGTCCAGGTAGAATGATAAATTTTCAAACAATTATCGGTAACTTTATTGTTTTCTAAATAAACATTAGCGTTAAAAAAATGAAATTTATGAAAAGTAATAATGATTTACACTGCATCGATTTTCGCTTAAATTCCTTAAATTTTTAGACTTTTCTTAGTTTTAGAACGAATAAATTAAGATACTAATCTTTAATTCTTTTAACTGAAAATTTAATTACATAAATTAATAAAATTAATGAGTGACTTTCTCTTATAATGAAAAACAATTTTATAAAGTTTTAATATTTATACGTTAATGAACTTTTTTAAAAATTTTAATAAACGCTTTAATCATGCGCGCGCATAAATGAAATTTAAATTATAACTATTGTAAATGAGCAAATGGGTTTAAATATATTTATTTTGCAAATTTGCATGAATAATAAATTATGCTCTGAAACGATATCATAAATTAATAAATGCATTATTTTTGAACAAATTATTATCAATGTCGTTTATGCTGATTAATATGTTAAAGTTGTAAATGTTGTTAAATGGTGTTAAACGTTGTCAAATGTTGTTAAATGTTATCAGTGAGTACAAAAAAAAAAGTACTATGCATTTGAATCATCAAATATCATTAAATCTTTAGAATTATTTGTGTATCCGTATCTTTCGCTTGATTGAATACCAGAATCAGAATTGTATCTTGTCAACGAAGGACTCTTGAATTTGTTTTTTTGTTGTACTTTGGAACCATTAAGAATATTATTGTTATTTAAGTTGGCAGGTGTTTTTTTGGATGCCAGGATCAAATGATCACCAGTCTCGAATTTTACTGCTAATCCTGTCCTTTTATCTGATTCATCATAAATTTCTTCTTGAATTAATTCTTCGAGAACATCTTCTAATGTAATAATACCTATAGGAATGGATGCTTCTCCTTTAATGACAATTGCCATATGACTTCGACCTTCTTGAAATGTGTTTAAAATATCAAATAATAGCGTCTCTCCAGTTACTTTTGGAATGGGATTTATACGAAAATCACGCAATGGGGCAGCTTTTTCCGGATTATACATTATAAGAGTCTATAGGTGATTTTATTATTATTATTAGAATATTATTTATCTATGTACGTATTACTAACTATCTCATTTATAATCTACCTTGACCAATAAAACTCCAAAAATATTTTCACGTGAACCTTCATATACAGGAATACGAGAGTGACCAGTCGAGTAAATTTCTCTCATAGTTGTAAAATCCAAGACAGTATCAATAGGAATCATAAACACCTAATAATAATAGTAGTAGTAGTAATAGTTTAAAAGTTCAAGATCAAAAGTAGATTATAAGAATTATATATAAAAATCCTTCTAAATTACTTACTTTATCTATTGGAGTCATTGTACTTTCAACTACTTTATCTTGAAGATCGAGAGCTCCTCGGATAATTGTCACACTATCCTTAACAAGATCACCTCCGTGTGCAGTTGAATTTTCATGATATTTTATCAATTCTTTTAATTCTATATATATATATATATATATTAATTAATTAGAATAATAATAAATAAAAATTTTGTTTTATTTTTATTCATACCAGATCGACGATAAATAATTCCATGATCTTCTCCCAAAAATAAATCTAACAATCTGGCTATGGGATATCCTATTATGAACTTTGTTGTTATTAATTGTTATTAATTATTATTAATTATTATTAATTATTATTAATTATTATTGATTGTATTAATCATTATTAATTATTATTAATTAATTAAATTTTATTATTGTCTAACTCACAGTTAACCAAATCAATATTCTCACAGGCCTACAAAGAAATGAATGACATGATATTTTTTAATAGTTGAAATTAAACAAAATATTAACAAAATATATATATTGAGTTATTTACCATGCAAAAAAGGCCCCAATTGCCAATCCATATCTAGAACATACAGCTTGTGGAATAATTTCTCCAAATAATACGATAAGCATACTGGATACTAATATCGCCCATATTCCTCCGCCTCCTAAGACATCATCCATAATGATGGGTAATGTTTCGTTGACTAATACGTTACTGATCAAGAGTGTAACTAATAATAAATGTCCATTTTTCCGTATTGGTTGAATCCTTTGAGCATATTTTCTAATAAATATAAATGAAATAAATTTATTATCACAAAGGAAAAAAAAAAAAGCGTAAACATAGTAAACATACCGTTGAGTATGATTATCAGAACCAGCAAGAATATTAAGATATGTCTCATCAATGCTCATCTAAAAATAGATAAATTGAAAATTATAAACTCTCAAAGAGGTACAATTTATTAATCATTATATTTACCAAGCCAAGAGTTAATCCTATTAATCAAAAAAAAAAAAAAAAATTAAATACAAATTTATCAAAGTAATTTCTTGATAAACTAGTATTGAAAAATATCAAACTTTCTTTACCCGAAAATAATCCCCCTAACAACACTAAGGTAACGGCTATTCCAACTTTTATAAGATTAATTTGTTCGCGCACTTTGACATTAATTTCCTCATCCTTTATATTTAATGGATGCGCAAGAACTTGTGAAATTAAAATCAATATGAAAAATATTATTTCTAGCATTTTTTTTTTAACAAAAAACAAAAAGTAATTTTTTGATGTATTACTTCATATTTATATATTTTTTATTTTTTAATTACTGATATGGGAATATTCCGGAAGTTAAACGCACCATTGTTGTCATATTCTTTATGTCATTCCGACTTCATAAATATGTCTTAAACCGTCTAGTGGGCAAATAAACATAGTAGCATGTGAAAACTGACGGTTTAAGGAATATCACAGATTGACCTGTGCTACTGAGATGATATATTTATACATCTATTACATTTGTGAATTGGCATTGTTGCTGAAGAAAAATAACATAATTAATTTACGAGTACAGATTTATAAGATTTATACATATCACAAATTACAATAATCAAAAAATATCAGATGTACTGCATGTCATTTTATTTGCAATAGATAATTGTTTGTTTGTTATCACGGATTATTTAATAATTGTTTTAATATATCTCGATTTTTTACCACCCAAATTTGATATACAGTAATGATATACTGAAAACCAGAACCTTATAATATCCTTTAAAATCACTATATATAGCTATTTTGCCAACCACACCAGAGGCAGACGTACTCCTCAAGACTTACGGGTCGGGTTTGAAAGGAACATAATTGTAAAATAAAATCAACTTTCAAAGCGATCGCCACGACGCGTTTATGTGATAATACTTAATGGCGACACATAAAAAATCACGTTTATTAAATTTTTCTTTTGTTTTTTATAACGTATATTAATCGTCTCATACTTTATTAATAGAGTTGGGTTTTACAAGCAAGAAAATAACCTTATCAGGTCGAAGAGAAGCTTTTATACTTACGTTATTATGTATTTTCCGTTAAATAATTATTATAAAAGTTTAATAATCTTACTTGAGTCTTGATTTTTTCCAAATGACGCGAGTCATTCATCCCATCCAAGTCAATCACTGAGTTTTGATTAAGAGGTCCCTTGATTACCTCTCTTGGAAGACGGTTCACTAGAAGCCAAAGGTCATGCTACTCTTTTGGATAAAAATTTCAAGGCAAGTGACATTTGTTGCTGAAGATTTTAAATAATGGTTTGGAGTACTCTCCACAATCAGAAGAAAAGTCTTCGTGCTATCTCTTTGATGACCTTCGTACTCGTCGTATTTGTTTGATTTCCAACAATATGGAGTTAGTTTATATAAATTTCTATGACTATAAAAGAAATCTTCGTGCCGTCTCTTCAATGACCTTCGTGCTCATTATAGAACTTTTATAGATGCAATAGCTATGAAGAATACCTTCGCGCTGTTTTCCTGATGACCTTCGTGCTTGTTGTGGTCCACAAAATAAAATAAAGGTTTTTTACTTTGTGGTTAAAACTAATATTCTTTACTTGTATACTAAAAGACGAAATATAATAAAAATCAGTATTTGATGCTGAAATTGAAAATAAGAAGGAGATGCGACTAGTGGAGGTTTGCAATATTTTTCATTCCTTGGTTTACAATGCATATCGTTAACATTACTTTATTTCTTTTACAGGCTAGATCAGTTATTTGATATATTTTGAATCCAGAAAAACTTAGCTCAACATCAAAAGCAAGATCGAACCCATACTTCATTAGTTAAAAATTGAATATTATTGAATGAATAATGTTACCGATTCTTTGGCCCACTTTTCTTGCACTACCTTCCTCAATTATGCAGATTCACATTTCCGAATTGTCTGTAATATAATAAAATTATATCTTTTAAAATTAAAAAGAATGAATAAAATAAAAATTTTATTTATAATAATATTAAAAATATAAATTTTAATGGTAAAAATATAAATTTTAATGGTAAAAATATAAATTTTAATGGTAAAAATATAAATTTTAATGGTAAAAATATAAATT